AAGTTTGTATTTTATGTCTGTGAGTCTCTTTTTTGTTTTTATATATAAGTTTATTTGTCTTTTTTTTTTTTTTTAGATTCCACATACAAGTGATATCATATGGTATTTTTATTTCTCTTTCTGGCTTACTGCACTTAGAATGACATTCTCCAAGGCCATTCATGTTGCTGCAAATGGCATTATTTTATCATTTTTATGGCTGAGTAGTATTCCATCGTACAAATATACCACAACGTCTTTATCTAGTCATCTGTCAATGGACATTTAGGTTGTTTCCATGTTTTGGCTATCGTAAATAATGCTGCTATGAACATTGGGGGTGCTGGTATCTTTTTGAATTAAGGTTCCCCCTAAATATATGCCCAGGAGTGGGACTGCTGGATCATACGGTAAATCTGTTTTTAGTCTTTTGAGGAATCTCCATACTGTTTTCCACAGTGGCTGCACCAAACTGCATTCCCACCAGCAGTGTAGGAGGGTTCCCTTTTCCCCACACCCTCTCCAGCATTTATTTGTGGACTTTTGAATGATGGCCATTCTGACTGGTGTGAGGTGATACCTCACTGCAGTTTTGATTTGCATTTCTCTGATAATTAGTGATATTGAGCATTTTTTCATGTGCCTATTGGCTATTTGTATGTCTTCACTGGAGAATTGCTTGTGGTGTTAATTTCTGAACACACTTAGCTGAAGTGCTATTTGCTGGATTTACCACCATAAAGTTGTTGTTGCTGTTGTTATTACTATTATTATTTTGGTTAGGAAAACTTTATTATGCTCCATGCATCCAGGGAGCTTATACATGCACATGCACACTCACACAGGCGCACACAGCTCACACTGCTCGCGGCACTTAATAATTGATAAATATTGTGGGGTAGATACTTTGAGACTCTGCCAATATTCTGTTTCTCTGCAAACATTTGCCCACTGATTTATCAGCCATTGATGGAACTTGACTGTGGCATTTATAATGTGGTGTTTACTTAGCAGTGATTTTGTTTTTTCCCTTATTCCCCCTACATTTATTAACTGGACTTCAATAAGGAAGAGCTGTTCTTTCTTGCCTGTGTTATTTGTTGTTTGTTCAATTTATGTCAGTATAGACTCATAGGTATTTATTTTATTCTAGTGTTTATAATCCAATACTACTATTATATTAGATTATATCATATCAATAGTATCATAAAGTAATATTATTATTTTCTCTGACCCATGAGCTAGCTTTGGTCATTGGGAACATTTGGTCATTTGGTCACTGTGTCCTCTTGACATGCCCCATTCTTTTGTGAGTACTTCTATATTTTCTGGTATCATAAGAAAAATCTGGTAAAAGGCTCATCTTATATTTTCCTTGGTTCAGCCCTAGAATGAATCTTTTTTCCAAGCAGCGTTCCTTTTATTGCAGAATGGTATTTGGAAACCAAGTCTGGGGGCTAGGTGTGCTCATTACTACTGGGGTGTCATTGTTACTGGAGCCTTTTAGCAGGGAGAACTAGGAATACATGTATGGATACCAGTCCATGCACACACATATACCTGTATTTCTTTCTTTATCTATTTATATGTATTAAAAACTATGTAATAATACAGATAACTGATTCCAATTCCATACTACAAAGTTCACTGTTGCCTTCACCCTTTCCTTAGTAACTTTAACAGAATTGCCAACCTATACCCCATTGAGAAAGTAACTTACTAACTAGACTATAGTATTTGTGTACAGTTCCTTTTGTCTTTAGTCTTAAGAGTACCCAGTTAAAATATTGTTTTCCAAGGTCACTTAAGTTAGCTCTTTCCTTATCTTCCTTTATCCTCTTTAATGTGGCTGTGTTATCCATCAGTAATACAGTTCAGTTCATTTGTTACTATTTATACTCTGTTTTGTTTTTCTTTTTCCTACAGGTCTTGGCTGATTTTAATTCATTATTTACTTCTTGGCAGGAGAGTATGTGAAACATTACTACGATTCTAAGAGTCAAAGCTAATGTAGATTTCACATCTTAATAATATAGAGTCTTCCCATCCATAAAGATGTATCTCTCCCTTTATATAAATCTTCTTTCTCTCAGCAATGTTGTACTGTTTTCAGTATACAAGTCTTGCACATCTTTTGTCAGATTCATCTCTAAGTATTTAAAATTTTGAGGTGGTATTATAAATGGTATTTAAGTGATTTCAACTTCCAGTTATTTGTTGCTGGTATATAAAAAGAAAATTGAGTTCTGTATATTGATCATGTATCTGTAACCTTGCTGAACTCACTTATCAAACACAGTTTTAGCAGCATCCCCCAAATTTTGATATGTTGTTTTAATTTTCCTAATTTAATATACTTCCTAATTTTTCCTAAAATATTTCCTGACTTTCCTTTTCATTTCTTCTCTGACCCATGAGTTATTCAGAAGTGTTATTTAGTTATCAAACATTTGCAGTTTTTCCACAGATCTGTTATTATTTCTAATTTAATTCCATTAAAGTCAGAGAACATATTTTATGAGCTGAATATTTAAAATTTGTTGAGATTTGTTCTATAGCCCAGAATATAATCTATTTGGTAAATATTCTGCATACATGTGAAAAGGAATGTGT